GCATTGACAGCAAGGGTAGCCTGGTATAGAGCATATAATTCAGCAGAGTAAATGGAGTACTCTGAAGGGAGTTTATATTTATTTGTCGATGTTGGGGTTAGGATTGCAGCACCAGTACCTTCATTTGATTTAGATGCATCTGTGTATATATGTGTATAGTCCTTGTAGTTGTGAAGCATATCGTTGAAGGCGGATTTGAATAACTGTGGGTTTGTTGAATGTTTGTCGAAAGAAATGAGGCAGGTTAGGCACTGAGGATTCTTTATTTGCCATGGAGGAATTAAGGACAATTGGGAAGAAAAGCATTCAGGGAGCGTGTAGTTTAGTTGATTTAAATAGCTTCTAATCCTTGCGTAGAAAGGTTTGGCAGTTCTTGGCTTATTTATGAAGAGATTTGGAAACTTTTCTGTAAAATAATTGTTAATGGTAGGGTTTTTTGGGTTAGACCTGATTTTTGCGGCATACGCTACACTTAAATAAAGTCTTCTGTCTTCTAAGGACGGTTCACCAACTTCACAATAAAGACTTTCGATTGGTGTTGTGCGAAAAGCTCCAGATATTATGCGTAAAGATAGGTTGTGAAGACTGTCAAGTTTTTTTAGCAGTGTCTTAGTGGCTGTAGAATACACAGTAGATCCATAATCTAATTTTGATCTGATTAATGTTCTGTATAACATTAAAAGTGTTTGGCGATCCGCACCCCATTCTTTATTGGCCAGAGTTTTAAGAAGATTTAATCGCTTGTGACAAGATAAGATCAAATTTGTTATATGAAGTTTCCAGCTTAGATTTTCTTCAAATGTCATACCCAAGAATTTTATTGACGTTACACGTTTTAGGTCCTCATCACATAGTCTTAGGTTAGGGATGTTTGTGACATTTTTCTTAGAAAACAGGATGAAACGAGTGTTTTCAGTGGAAAAACAGAAACCTGTTTTTTGTGACCAGAGTTCTAAGTGTTTTATGAAGTTCTGTGTGTGATTAAATATGTTTTGTATATTTTTACCTTTGCAGAAAACTACAAGATCATCCGCGTAGACGCGTGCCTTTATAGGTGATTTTAGATTTATGAGAATATCATTCATTGCCACTATAAAGAGCGTAGGACTTATTACCGAGCCTTGAGGAATGCCATTTTCTGGATACATTATATCTGATGTTGTGTTGTTTGTCCTAACTCTGAAAGCTCTATTTTGAAGGAAGTTTTTAATAAAGAAGAAACAGTGACCTTGAATGTTCCAACGATGTAATTTTTTTAATATATAATCGTGCCAAGCTGTATCGAAAGCTCTTGATATGTCAAAGAAAACCGCTAGACATTTATTCCTTAGTGCGAATGCTTCAGAAATGTCACTTTCCAAATCTATGATATTATCTATGGTTGACCTTTGCTGTCTAAAACCACTTTGTTCTGGAATAATTAAATCTTGTCTCTCCAGGTGCCATCTTAGTCTATTATTAATAATTTTTTCTAGTAACTTACACATGGCGCATGTTAAAGCTATCGGTCGGTATGACTCGGAACTTGTTTTAATACTATTAGGTTTTTGTATAGGTATAACTGTGGATTCACGCCATTTTTCAGGAAATTTGTGCTGTAGCCAAATAATATTAAACAGATTTAAAAGTTGTTTGTGAGCGCTATCTGGAAGGTGTTTGATAAAAATACTAGGAATATCGTCCGGGCCAGCGCTAGTTTCTTTGAGATTTGATAATGCTTCTGTATACTCTAATTCAGAAATGGGTAAATTTAACGGTTCATCTGTATTAGGTATAACGCTAATTTTCTTATTTTCTTCTTGCTGTTTGTATTTAATGAAAGATTTTTTATAATTAATATTACTGGATCGGTTTTTGTATGTGTTAGCAAGGATTGTGGCAATCTCAGTGTTACTAGTAACTGCCTTTCCATTTACTTCTAGGCTTTTGATATTCTGATTACTATTCAATCCGGATATTCTTCGGACTTTGTTCCATACTTCAGTCATGGGAGTGTTTGCATTTAACGTTGATACATATTGAGTCCACGACTGGCGTTTGGCATTTCTAGTTGTCTTTTTGGCTATAGCACGTTGTTTTCTGTATTCAATTTTATTCTCAACAGTTTTGTAGCGCTTGTATTGGTTAAAAGCTCTTTTGCTAGATTCAACTGCTGCTTTGCATTCGTGATTCCACCATGGGACAGGATTGCGTTGTTTTATACATGTAGTCTTTCCTATTGCTTTTTCTGCTGCGTTTGTGATAATGGTAACAAGGTTCTTCAGTGTCTCGTCTATATTTGAGGTACTTTTAAGTGTGGTTATATTGCTATCGATTAAATTTGAAAAATGATTCCAGTTAGGGTTTTTTAAATTCCATTTTGGAGTAAAAGACTGTCCACATTGGTTCTTGTTATTATGAATCAAGAGTGGATAGTGATCACTGTTGTATAGGAAGTCGAGCCTATCCCAGGTGAGCTGTGGGGTCAGACCTGGTTCGCATATCGTAAGGTCTATACATGAAGATTCACCGTTTTGTATATTGAATCTAGTGGGTCTGCCGTCGTTAAGACTGAAAGGTTGGACTGTTCAAATGTCTCTTCTAGTAGTCTTCCCCTAGCGTTTATAGTAGAAGAGCCCCATAAAAAGTTGTGGGCATTAAAATCGCCCAAAATAAGTCTGGGTTGGGGTATTTGTTGTAACAGCTTTGTTAATACTTCTGAGTCGACTTGCGTTGATGAAGGTAGGTATAAGTTACAAACGTAGATATTTGGACTTGAGTTAAGTTTAATGCAAATTGCTTCTAGATTAGTTTGGAGAGAAATTACAGTGGATTCAATTGACTTTTTTACGAAAATAGCTACTCCGCCGCTGGCTTTTTCGTGGCTAGTTCGATTTTTGCAGTAACTTTTAAATTGTTTTAAAGCTTGTGTTTTTTCATTTTTGAAATTAGTTTCCTGAAGACAAATTATATCTGGATTGTATCTAGCCAGAATTATTTGAAGCATCGGAAGGTTATTGTAAAAACCGTTGATGTTCCATTGCAAAATTGAAGAGAGGCCCGTGTATAATAAATAAAAATTTAAACTTGGGATTGTTACAGAAGTTTATGTCTCGATTCCTGAGATAACTCACTTTCAGTCTCTGATGTCTCACTATCCGAGTAGGTCATCTGTAAATGTATCAGTAGTTTCTTTTTTATTTTTGTACATCTAGATTTAATGGATCTTTGTTTAAAATAAGGGTATATTGCTGTTAGCATTCTCACTAAAGCTTCTAAATCGTTAGTGTAGTTTTTTATGACGCTGACTGGATCCTGTGCACCATAAACATTTTCAACTAGATCGGATATTTGATTAAAATCAAGAATAAATGGAGGGTTTTGCTCTGAGATGAATGCCTTGGCCGGTTCCATGAGTATGTGAGTTGGTGTCTTTTCCTTACTTTTCTTTGGTTTTTTGGATGGTGCATCATTTGGTTTAACAAACGGGTCTAGACTTGCATTTTCTGAATCAGCGTCTTGCGCTGGAGGAGGTGTGACTATTTCTTCTAAACTGCGTTTTGAGCTATTTTATGTAGGCTGGGTTGTATCTATATTGATGATTGGTTGTGAGGTTTGAGTTTTTGAGGGGTTTGTTGGAAGTATTTGATTAGGTGTGGATTGCGAAGATGTCTGGGAGTGAAGGTTTTGGTTAAAATTTTCAGGAACTGATTCTTGGGTTATTTTACAATTTGCTGCGGTATGGCCTTGCCTTTTACATGAAAAACATACCAAGGAATCTTGTGACAAAAAAATCCTATAGTTGGTGTTATCATAGTTTATTAATATGGATTCGGGTATTGAATCAAGTGGTGGTGAAATAAATATTTGTCGTCTAAAACTATAAACGTGGCTGAATTCCGGCAAACCGGCACTTATCTTGAGAAATGACATGGGAGACATGGTTTTAAGGCCCAATTTTTCAATTTCTTGAGTTAGTAAAGCATGCGGAATGGTGGGACAAACGTTTGACAGAATTAGTCTTTCTGCTGGAGTGACTAGTTTGCGTGCTTGGACTTGTTGGTTATTAATTTCTATAAAACCTCCGTGATTATTCATAAAATGTTTAACAATGTTTTTGTTTGCTAGGTACATACACACTCTGTTGTTAGAAAGCCGTGAAGAAAATAGAATATTTTTGGGCTCGATCAACATTCCTAATGGAATCAGGTAATCTTGAAGTTTTAGGTTTTCCATGGCTGGGAATACAATAGCTTGATCTTTGGTAGGGAATTGTTGTTCAATCACAGCAGAAGAATAAGTTTTAGTATTATTTTCCTTTTGGGAGCCTCTGTAGTCAGAAGTCCCGTCAGTTGGGTTTAGCATCTTTTCTTTATAATTTAAATTTAATTTAGATCTGAAATACGGACCTGTTTTAGGACAGGCAATTTTATCATGTCGTTATAGATAACGAATAAACTTGTTTAGAGTTTTTATATCAAGCCGACTTATGATAAATAAATACAGTAAATTCCTGTGAAATGACTCTGTTTTATATAATTTTAGAGAGTACTTACAGGATGGAAGAGAACGCACTTTTATACACTTATATTGATAAAATAAAAAAATTTTAATCAATAACTACTATCTGAAATAACTGTTTTTGTTTGGAGCTGACAAATTCGCACTAATTAGTATACCTGTCAGGACCGAACTCCCATTTGGTATTAATTTGGTAATTGTATAAAAAATTCTAATGTTTTTATTTTCAATACATTATAAGAAGGGTTAAAAATTTAATATACACGAATAAAGTTTTAAAGATATTCACTCCTTCTGGAAGACGACTTATAACCGCATTTTGAAAAGAGGAGCTATATATGTAAATATATATATATATAGATATATATATATATATATATATATATCTATATATATATATCTATATATATATATATATATATATATATATATATATATATATATCTACCTATATTATACCTATATTTTATTCTTTATTGAAATGAAAAAAAGTATATTTTGAAAATATTTTAATTATCATTATAAAGTAATTAAATAGTTTCTTTTTTGTTATACACTTAATTGTTTTCGTTATCGATAATAAGTCTTGCACAACGCCAATAATTAAAACAGGCATCCTCAGAAGTTGCGCCATTACGATTTGTGCATCTCTTATCAACTTTGTCGGCAGTTTTCTTATTGCCAGTAAAAAGCATTACAACCTCCCTAGTGAGGGTTTTATCAACGTCACAATTTTCATTGGTTACTCCAAGTTTTATGTTGATACACAGCGTTTGCAAGCCCAAGGTTTTGATGTCAGGATTTGGGCTAACTACAAGTTTCCTTATATCGTTTGATCCACCATAGGTCGCACCACAGCTTTTAAAAGCCTTTGAAATATCATCAAGTGTGATTTTAGCCTAAAAAACAGAAAATTTTTACATAAGTAATCAGTATCGCTTAATTTAAATTAATTAGGATACACTGGCTATTTCTTAAAAAGATAAAACAATAAATTATTTTTTACAAAAAGAAAATAAAAAGAGCAGCTCTACTTTGGTTTTTGGCTCAGAAAATATATTTTTACTCAACAACAAATTTAAGATTAACAAAAATTCTTAATTAATATCCGCAGTATCAATGGTGGAAAATCAAAATCGATAAGGAGCTATTCGTATAGGTACTTGGCCAATACCTTGAGGGAAGTTAGATAACGTGAACACGAAATCAAAAAAATATCCGTTTACGTCCTTAGAATAAGTAAATTTTAATAGCCAGCAAAAGTAAAATTTTACTATAAAGACTACGTACTCTATTATTCTGTAAACTATTTACCAAATCAGTTGTATCGCGTTGATGTAATACTAACGGAGAAGCTCAACCGGTCTAATGTTAATCTAATCCCAAAGTCAGACAGAACTCTCTTCTTACAGCTCAAGGCCTAAGCAGTGTATATCAATATAATACAGTGCCATACTTTAACTGAAGAGAAGAATGAAAAGAAAATAAAAAAGTCGTAAAAAGCCAACTTCAATATTAGGTGATTTTAAGGATAAAATATGAAAACAGGAAGAGTTAAAAATGTGTTTAAAGCGATATTAAAGCGATACATTAAGACAATTCTCGCAAGAGAATTTTATCCTGAAAAATATTTGGTTTAAGCTTTTATCATGTAAATCCTACACTTGGCAGTCCATAGTGAAATAAAAATCAGGCGAAACTACATTGATTTTATATTTATATGAGATATATATATATATATATATATATATATATATATATATATATATTGAATTTTTATATAGTTTATGTAGTAATAATTTTTTTCCTGAGGAAGACGAAAGACTAGTGGCTCTAGTACAAATTGTAGGACAGTTCCAAATAAATTCCTGGAAAGTCTAAAATATTCTCGAAATTGTTCCTCGTTTTGAAACAATCTTTCTTCGACTGTTAATTTAAAAGCACCTTCTGTATTAAGACATGAAAATATTTCGTTTACATTTTTATTTCTTTTATTTAGATTTAATGTTATCAACTCTTCTTTTTCCTCGTCTTCTTGGAGTAATAAAATTATTGCCTTAAGTTTGCGAGAATTCATTTTTTTAAACGTACAACCTTTGAGAGAATAAACGTGAAACTAATTTCTAAACGTGTTTTCAGGGCGACAGAATATTTAAGCGAATTAATCTAACAAACCGACTCACCAAAAACTGCCGTGAATCGAGTACAACAGATTTTGCTGTACGCTGTATGCTGTGCGCTGCGCACTGTTCTAACAAACCGTAGCTTTAAGGGTAAGAATTTATTTTTTAACTAATACTGAATAATATATATTTTTACCCTCTAAATTAACGTTTAGTTATTTAAATATGGCTAAAACTGCGTCAACAGACTAATATGGAATATTTTTTAAGTATTTTTTAGAGTATGCCTGGTAAACGATTGACTTCTCAAGCACAATAACTTGTGCTAAATGTGTTGAAGTATTTCAAATTATAAAAAATTTAATGGAGGGCCTTTGGAGCCATGTTCATCTGTTCAACAGGTAATTAGATTGAAATATATGTTCGTTTATGAAAATTATTCAACATTTCCTTATTTAAGAGAATAACAGCTGCATTGAAAATATTACGATGGAGAAAATGTACAATTACAGAAAGGAAAGAAAATAATCATATTCTTTTAAAGCCTGGCAAAAGTAGACCTTGTCAAAAAACAAAACAAGTGATCTATCTAAGTGATCAAAAATGGCAGAGCGGAATACAGTATACGGCATGTACCAACAAAGTATCAATTTTTTAAACTGAAGTTGAATACCAGCCTCCTAAGAGAGGACGATAAAAGGGACGACGACTAAAAATGCAGAAATGATACGAATAGTAACGCATATAAAGATTATCAATACGACTACTAAATGTTAGGTTCTTTGTATTTTAATTATAATTAATGATAAATTACCAAGTATTTTTTGGAAAATGTGTTAAGAATTTATTTTATTTTATATTAGGCGTAATGTTACAGACATAAAAAGGCGCCATACATTTTTTTAACACGACTTATTTTTATTACTTTATGATACATGACAGTTGTTACTGAAACAAGAACTTGCTGTCATTGTTGCCAACACAAGATTTTAAAGGTTTGCTCCCAAAATTAAGTATACTCTAACACTAAAGGCACTGGTATAAAAATATTTAGAAACAAGTTGAATAAGTGTATCAAAAATTTGTACCAAAAAGATTATCGAAACAAAATAATATAGAAAACAATGGTAATTTAGTTACAAAACAAGCCAAATAAATAATCTAACTCACCGCAGTTAGGGATATTATAACAAAAATTACGGCCAACACTTTCATTGTGAAAATGTATGTACCACGAAGCATGTTAAACTATTTTTATATAGACATATAAAAGAATAATTATTATTTAAAATAGCAGTAATCGCCAATTAATAGAATTTTATTACAGCAAACATACTCATATACCTATTATGTATTACTATTATATTTTTCCCTTGTTAAAAATAAAATTGAACTAGTTATAAATAATTGCTATCGAAATACGAAATAAAAGTTTTTTAAATTATTTATTCATGTAAATGATATGTATACGATATCTAAAACCATTGCAACCAAACCAACAGATGAAGATAATACAAAAAGGCTCATAATACAATTTGCACCAACGCTAAAAATCTCGGTGAAAAGTTTTAACCCTCGCAGTGATCACAAAACACCAAGCCCATCTCTATGATTATAAGTAGAGTAAATGCGGTTGGTAACTTAAAAGCAATATGCACCAGAAAAGGCTTATTAATAAAAACATAGATGTTATTGTAAAAAGCTTTTCTACTTCTATCACCCTTCTCAAAATTTCATGTAAAAATTTCTGCAAAGAACACCGGCAAGAACCCTATAAGTTGAGTTAAAATTTGAATTCACAAATGGACTTGGTACAACTTATGTCTATCACGTCATATATATATATATATATATATATATATATATATATATATATATATATATATATATATATATATACTAAACTTTAAGACTCTTTGGATAAAAACTGCTGAAAGGATAGGCTACGTGTAATAGTTTCACATGAAAATTGACAATCTAGTTTAATTAGGTTGATGTTACTTACGATTTTGAGGATAATGCCGTAAAAGCTGGTCAACGTTGTAAAATTTTTTTTGTGAAAAATTGTATAAGTTTTTTTACAAAAAGAAATAAAAACATGTATATACAAATACTAGTATCTAATAATAAAAACCACTGAATTGTCTTGAGAAAAAACTAATGACGATATAATAAAATTAAGAATAAAAATGTCAGAAATGTGTGTATAATAAGTAAGTGTTTGTGATTGTAAAGCAATTTTTAAAAATTTTATATATAGGAATAAGTTTTATTTAAAAATGTGACAGACTGTGATAAGTTGTATCGACATTGTAGAAAATCATTGATGATCCAACCTCATTAAGTTTGTAAGTTGCGAATTTTTAATTAATTATACAAACTTGTAACAAACTATTCATCACATTTGTAGCTCCCTGATGAAGGACATAACCATGTCCGAAAGCTCGGAATAAAAATTTAAAAGAATACACGTATCATTTTTATTGCTGCAAACCCAATATTGAAAATTTACTTCCTTGTTGTCAGCAAATACTTCTAGTTCAGATATATAAATATATATATATATATATATATATATATATATATATATATATATATATGTATATGTATATATATATATATATATATATATATATATATATATATGAAACATAGAGCTAAGATTAATATTATTACTAAAATTAATATCAAACTCACCAGTCTTCCAGGTTGAACCGCATCGATATCCATTTTGCCGAGCTTTCGGCATCCTCTCTGATGCCTTCCTCAGGGCTTCCGAGGTCTGTCTCTTGAGCCCCCAGACACTACTACACTGTTCACTAATCACTGCACTGTCACTACTGGATATCGACGCGGTTCAACCCGGAAGACTGGTGAGTTTGATATTAATTTTAGTAATAATATTAATCTTAGCTCTATGTATTTTATATATATATATATATATATATATATATATATGTACATATGTATATAGTAAACTCTTAAATATTTTGGAAATCTGCAAAAGACTCTAATGAGTTTCAGTTGTTTCGCCGAACGTTTTCGCCAAAGAGAATTAATTTGGCTCCTTCAGGGCTGAAGGAGAAGAAATTATAATTAGCTACCATATATTATCTGTTTAAAAAACACTGGAGATCTTACCGTAACATAGAATTGTAGAGTTAGGATGTTAAAAAAAACTTAGCTAGTAACAACATAATGGCTTTTTTGTTACTATGTGAAAAAATTATCGTTTAAAATGTATGGTAGCTTTGAACTTGAAACGTAAGGGTGTACCCAAGGTTAGTCGAAAAGCCCAATGTAACTGCATTTAAAAGGATGGAATTCTTTCATTTGTTATTAACATTATTAACATAATACCAACATGATATTAGCATTACTATTAACACATGAAAAATAAAGTAATAAAACTATCAAATCCTTCTTTTCATACAAAAAACCTACAAATCCTACAGAAACTTTTCATTTCAAACGCTCATCCAAGACCGTTAGTAAATGAAATTTTGTTTAATACTGTCCATAACGAATGTACTTTACCTTCATTCGCGACTAACAATTCTGATCCTGATGTCTTAATTGGGAATCCAGTCTCGGATACTACTATCAACAAATATTTTTCATTACCATACTTTAGAGATATCCCTCCGTGGTTAACAAGGATTCTGAATAGTGTTGAAAATAGCTTTGGTAATAATAAAAACAATGTTAAACTTAATGTGGCTTATAGATCAGCCCTAACAATTTATAATCTTTATTCTAAGATCAAAGATAAGACTCCTATAGATATGCTTAGTAACATTGTCTCTAACATTCCGTGGATCTCTTGCAACAATTCCTACATCAGCCAAACATCTCAATCATTGAAATCACGTATCACACCGCACAAAAGTGATTCTCGACTTCACCCTGACCGCTGTGCATTAGCTAAATATGTCCATTCCACTTGTCATCTCATGGACTATTCAAACAATACAATTCTTCGGTTTGAGAACAATAAATCTAAAAGAGAGTAAATTGAAATGTCATATATTTTCCTTAACGATTTCTCCATCAATGTTAAGAGTGACATTAAGAATCTAAGCGATATATACCAATTGTTACTTAAATCAGATACCAAGAACAATACAACATCACAGAAAACTGACTTGACTGATATATCCATTAACAACTAACCTACTTAAATAATAATTTTCATTATTTAAAACATATAACATTATCTTCATTTTTTTTTAAATACTTTAGATACATCTCAATAAGATAATATAATATTAATATAATAAACTTTGAAAACCAGGGCTATTATCGAGCACAAGTTAATTAAATCTAGCCCAAGTACTTTCGCTTAAAATAGCATCTTCAGGGGCAATTCGTCAAATATAAATTATCCGGCAAGCGTAGAGTGTGGAAACATTAATAATGACATAAAATTGTACAAAACACTCCACTAAAACGAGGACAAACAGTTTAAAATTACTTTAAAGATTCTACGCTACATTCTTTGTCAGTATCTGGAGGAATTCTTCCCTCCTAATAGATAGAATAGTAGTTTACTACTGGATTGCTTGAAAAAAATTGTTGTTGCTATTTCGATAAGCAGTTGAGATAAAAAATGTTGCTTATAGGCCAGGAAAATAAGCAAAAAAAGTACTCTGTTTTTGACACTCGTCAGGTCAGGCAAACGACAGTTATTTTAAGTAGTATGGACCTCTGTAACAAAAACCTATATGTTTCCTGCAGTCGATTTTTTGGACTTAATTAGTTATTAACAAATTAAGGTCAAGAAACGGAAAATTTTTGCTTTTTTAGTCTATCAGCAAAAAGTGAGGCAATTTAAACAAATTTTAGAAGAGAGGAAACTTATAAATTATATAAAAACATTCAAAATGGCGTTTTCAGAATGTTTCTATCCTTATTTGTTGCTTAGAAAGTTGCAAAATAAGTCAAAAATCTCGGTTTTTTATAAATGTTAATAATTTTTTTGAAAATAAACTTATAATATTTATATTTCATGGAATGATGTGTCTTGTAGTGCTTAAAATAGGGTCAAAATTTCAAAGTGATCGATCCAATAGTTTAAAAGTTATTTTAATTGTTTATCCCAAATTATCATTTCTTGCAACAATATGTCAGAAATTTATACAGTTTTAGTAATTGTAAGGGTAGTTTCTGAGAAAACTTTTATTATTTACATTAAAAAAAATTAAGGAAATTAATTTTAAATATTGCAAAATAATTTTGCAAAAACATGTCGATTTTTTGCTTATAAACAATTAACTTTTTAACCATTGACTGCAAAAATATTATTTTTACATATTTAAAAAGTCTAAATTTTTTCACAAATCTAAAAAAAAAAGTTTGTCCTAAAATAATTTGGTACAAAGTTAGCCTCTTTTTTATTTAATTCATAGCTCCTTTGTTTATAACAATTAAGAAAGCTAATTAGCGCTATTTGAAAGAATATATATTATAGTTTTACAGTACTAAATTTTAAAATTATTGCCCTTTAATGGAATCGTCCACAAAGCTTTAAAATGTTTGTCAAATCGGTGGGCTTTGAAACTATCGGGAGCTGAAGGGAGGGGGAAGGCGATGTTAACTGTATCTCTGTTCCTTTTTTATGTATTTCAACGTTTCTTTTTGAACCTGTATGTCCTTTTTGCGTACATGACAAATATGCATTATTTCAATAAATAAATTGTCAACTAAACCACCTAATTTGTTTAAAAACATTTTTTTTTAATTTTTTTTAGTAGTATTTAAGTTCAGTTTGAATGTAAAACAGAAATATTTGTCATTTCCTTTATTTTGGGGAATAAGCCACAATTTAAGTTTATAATAAGTTTATTTTTAACGTTTCGATTTCTACTTCGGAAATCTTGCTCAGAATACAGAACATTAATAAATTAATCAAATGTTGTTTTTGGTTACTTGGTAGAAATTTTTTCTGATAACTCTTCTGGGTGATTGATTAGTGTGAGGAAGCTCAGGAGATCTGTTATAGTAAAAAACAAAGTTTGACAAAAATTGTAGACAGCTTTAAACTCCACATTTTAAAATTAGTTACAATTTTACAGGGTGTTCTATAAGATGGTGGCAGACCAAACTTATGTTTTTTTAAATGAAACACCCCGTATTTTATTTTAAATTTAAAATCTGCTTTACTTCCACATCACAACAATGTAAAGTTTTATTATGTTATACCGGGTATTTAAAAAGTTATAACCAATATTACC